TGGGGTCTTGGCTTCATCCTTTAAGGGAGGTGCAAGTTTCTCTGGGGATTTCACTGTYGGGGTCTTGGCCTCCTCTTTTGAGGGGGTTGGTGGCTTTTCAGGGGATTTGACTGCTGGAGTCTTGGCTTCTTCCTTGGAGGGGGTCGGGGCTTTCTCTGGGGACTTTACAATGGGGGTCTTGGCCTCCTCCTTTGAGGGTGTGGGTGGCTTTTCAGGGGACTTGGCCTCCTCCTTTGAGGGGGACTCCGGTTTCTCTGGGGACTTGGCCTCTTCCTTTGCGGGGGACTCGGCCTCCTCCTTTGCAGGAGACTCGGCCTTTTCTTCACCCTCTTCTTCAGCTTTCTCCTCTTCTTCTTCCTCCTCCCCCTCCTCCTCAGCTTTCTCCTCTTCAGCCTCCTCCTCCTCCTCTGTCACCTCCTCGGTCACCTGGATTTCCTCCGTCTGCTCCTCCACAATCACTGTCTCCTTCTCTGATTTTTCCACCACCTTGATCTTCTCCTCACTCTTCACCTTGATGCTGGTGGTGATGCTGGGAGGCTTGGGGACCACCTCGGGGTAGGAGAGCATCCCGATGCCAGTCTCGAGCCGATACTCCTCCCCTTCCAGGAGCTTTCTGCCGGGGAGAGACCAGAGCAGGGTCAGCCATGGCCTCKCATCTCCTCCCATGAYYGGGAGCTGCTGGTGACSTYCTGCAGCTCCATCTYCCTCCCTGCCCCATCCTGGATGACCCAGGAGCTGCCGGTGGTGTCCTGCAGCTCCATCTCCCTCCCTGCYCCATCCTGGATCAYCCTCMTGCTCCTSCWCCCTGGGATGAGCAGTTTTCCCCACCAGTCCCTCCACACATCCTTGGGTCACCCAGCTGGACTTTGCCCACACTGSGTTTGGAGGATGGGTGATTTTCTCACCAAAAGAAGCCCAGATCTTAAGGAGGGGCCTGGAGCAGACGTGGCTGAGACCCCCCACTCCTTCTCCTGCTCCCCCTGTACCTGTAGGCAGCGATTTCAATGTCCAGGGCCATTTTGACGTTGAGCAGATCCTGGTACTCGCGGAGCTGAGCTGCCATCTCCCACTTGGTGTTCCTCAGCTCGCTGTCCAGCTGCTGGATGGTTTCCTGTGGGCACACAGAGCGATAATTGCGGGGGACGCACATAACATGGTCCCCAGGAGCAGGGGGACACTGAGCACCCCTAAAGGGCCCCCTGGTCTCCAGCACCGGGGTGTCCTCACAGAGGAGACAGCAGCCACCTCCCCCTGCAGACACTTGGGGAAAGGGACACAGCCAGGGGGTCCAGTGGCCTTGGAGGATCTGGCAGGAGCCCTGCACCCCCTGAGCAAGGAGCTGTACTCCAGCTGAACCCTGGCCCGCTCCCAGCGCTCCTTCCAGCAGGGACAAGCTGTGGGAATGCTTCAATAGGGTTTGGGTGAGCCCAGTGGCCGCAAAAGCCCAGCCAGAGGATGGTGGGGCATCACCCTGGGACAGCACTTCATTYCAGGGCCATCAATGCAGCCCTCCCTGCCCAGATCTGGCACACAGATCTGCTTGKCTTGGTGCCGTAGGGCAGCCCCAGGGCTGCTGAGGGACAGAGCAGCCTGGACCCCAGCTCAGGCTCTGCGCTCCTGGGGGGTGGGGAAGGCTCTGACACAGCCCTGAGCGTTTGCCACAGCCCTCTCACAAAACCCCAGTGCTGCCTCTCCCCGGGCTGGGCCACTGCCCACTGCGCCACGGCACCTGGTAGGACAGGACATCTGCATGGTGGCGCTCCTCCGAGTCCTGCCTCTGCCTCTCCAGCGACTCCTGGGTCCCTTTCAGGGCTTCCAGCTCGGTGGTCTTGGCCTGGAGCTGCCGGCGGTACTCGGTGATCTCCTCCTGGGCCAGGCGCATGGCGTCCGTGTTCACCTTGGCCACCTCCGAGAGCTTGTCCAGCCTCACTGCAACGGGGAAAGGGAAGCTGCGGGGCGGGAGGGAAGGAGGCTGCAGCCTCCCCTGCTCGGGGAAACTCCAACCTTTCCGTGCCGCACATCCCTGCGTGTCCTCTGCAGAGCCGTCCCAGGCTCCCTGAGCGCTCTGCCTTCCCCAGCCCTCGCTCCGTCTGTGCCGGGGAGTGAAGGAGAGCGGGCGGGATGAGCTTGGGGGGTGTTTCTGCCATCCTGGGCTTCACCCAGCGCAGGCCCCCGCCGCATCCCAGAGCCGCCAACCCCAGCCCGAGGAGGGGGGGTTTTGCCGCAGCGCCTTGCGGACACCCCAGCGGGCGGTGTGGGGCACAGAATGAGGGGACAGGAAGCGGGGACATCCATCCTGCGGCTCCCGGAGCAGCCCCCGCCCCGAGGGACGGGCAGGCTGGGCTCGCCGCTGCTGCTGCCCGCGGTGCTGAAGCGCCGCTGTCCGCGGTGCTGGAGGCGCCCTGAGCGCTCGGGAGGCTGAGTCTGGGGGTGCCGACCCCATCCCGCGTCCCCCCCGTACTGTAGTGCCCCCCCCCCCAAGAAGGGCCACTCCCTGTTCTCCCTCCCGCATCAGGGTTGCGGTATCACCCCCCCAGCACTGCAAACAGCCCTGGCCTCGCCCCCTGAGAGGGACCAGCAGCAGCGTCTGGGGCGGTCCGACACCCCAGAAACTTGCAGTGATCCTGGCAACCCCTCAAAACGCACTGCGGGGCACAGGGCGGGTGGGCAGGGCACCCGCGGGCATTGGGAGTCTGGAGCCAGGGGTGGAGAGTCATGGAGCCCTCACAGAGCGCTGGATGGGGTGGGGGGGCAATAACACAATATATGGGGGTCCCTGCACCCTCCTGGGGCGAGGGTATCCCAACATCCTCCGGGAGCACAGGATGGGTGGGAGGGGTCCCTGCACCTCCCGGGGTGGGGGCACCCTAAACACAGCATGGAGAGCGCGGGGACCCCGCATCCCTCGGTACTCCCTCGCTCCAGCCCTGTCCCGGGGCGCGGCAGCGCAGGGCGTCCCCGGGGATGGACGGGGCTGCTGCCGGCGCGTTCCGCGGCCGCCTCGGGCACTCACCGCGGAACCACTCCTCGGCCTGCAGGGTGCTGCGGGCCGCCGTGCCCTCCAGCTGTGCGCGCAGGTCGCGCAGCGCGGCGGTGACGCCGGGGCGCAGGGACGCGGGGGGCTCGGCGGGCATCTCGGGGCGCGCCCCGCGCAGCAGCGCTCCCACCTCGGCGCGGTGCTGCCTCCGCAGCAGCTCCGCCTCCTCCCGCAGCGCCCGGGCTCGCTCCTCCAGCGGCGCCCGCGCCCGCTCCTCCTGCGCCGAGCGCTGCGCCAGCCCGCGGGCCGCCGCCTCCAGCTCCGAGCGCTGCCGGGCCTCGTCCTCCAGCCTTCCCCGCAGCGCCGCCACGTCCTCGGCCAGGCGCGCCCGCTCCAGCCGCAGCTGCCCCTTCTCGGCGCCCAGGCGCAGCACGGTGCCCCGCATGTCCCGCAGCTCCCGCGCGTACAGCTCGCCCATGGCCGAGCGCCCCGCCTGCTGCTGCCGCAGCGCCGCCGCCTCGGCCGCCAGCGCCCGGTTCTGCTGCTCCAGCGCCCGCACCCGCTCGATGTAGCCGGCGAAGCGGTCGTTCAGCACCTGCAGCAGCTCCTTCTCGTTGCGCGCCCGCGGTTCGCCGTTCAGCGAGTCCAGGCTCTCGGTGGAGGACGCGGCCGCGCTGCCGCCGCCGGCCCCCGCTCCCCGCGCCCGTCCCGTCACCGGGGCCGACCACGAGTAGAAGCCGCTGGAGGCGGCGGAGCGCGGGGGAVCGCGGCCCGGCTCCTTGCGGAGCCCCCCCGGGGGGCCCAGCAGCGTTTCCAGCATCAAGCTCATGGCAACCCCCACCCTCGCTGCGGCACCGGCGCGCCCGCCCGCTTTATAGGGCCCGGGGCGGCCGCTCCGCCCCGCCACCGGCAGCGGGGGCGGGCACCGGCATCGCCACCGGCACCGCCCCGAGCCGCCGCCGCAGCCCCGCGGGTGCGGGGAGATCCCGCTGCCACGCCCCGGTGGGGAGCCGGAGTCACATGAGAAAGGAGCGGAACCCCACCCGGCAGGAGCCCGGCACCCCCAGGGCACTGCGGGACCCCCGGAGCAGAAAACGGGACCCACGGGGAGAGAGCAGAGAGCTCCTGAAGGGAGCACAGAACCCCCAGAGAGATAGAGACACCCCGGGAATAGAGGGGAGGAGCCCCGGGAAGGGAGCAGGGACACCCCAGGAGAGAGTGAGGATCCCATGGGAAGTGGGGAGCCCCTGAAAGGGAGCATGGAGGCTGCGAGCAGAGAGCGCGATAAAAGGAATAGATCGGGAGCCCCTGAAAGGGAGGAGGGGGCTCTGAAAAGGGAGTGGGGAGCCCTCAAAGTGACCGTGGACCCCCTGGACAGCGAGAGGGGCACTTGGGAACAGAATGGGATCCCCAGAAATAGAGTGGGACCGTAGGAAGGGAGCTGTGACCATCCAGAGCAGAGCAGGTCCCCAGCCTGGTGTGAAGCGAGAGTGGGGACCCCCAGGTGGCACAGACACCCCCCCTTCCCGGGTGGCCTGGCAGGGCAGGGACTCTGGGGGCTCTCAGTGACCAGAACCCCTCACTTTGGGTTCCCCCGGGGGCCAGGCACTGATTTGGGCTGGGGGAGGGGGTGCCAGGAGGGTCCCCTGGGGGACAGGGACACCTGGGATGGGATGGGATGGGATGGGATGGGATGGGATGGGATGGGATGGGATGGGATGGGATGGGATGGGATGGGATGGGATGGGATGGGATGGGATGGGATGGGATGGGATGGGATGGGATGGGATGGGATGGGATGGGATGGGATGGGATGGGATGGGATGGGATGGGGGGTGACCCCCCCAAACCTGCCCTTGGGACTTGGGCATGCAAGGACTGCCCAGCCAATCAGCGCTCAGGTACCATCCGGCCAATCAGCACTTACAGACAGCCCGGCCGGTCAGCCCATATGGACCAGCGGCCAATCAGCACCCACAGACCACCCAACCAATCAGCACAGCTGCTGCCCAGCCAATCAGCACACACAGAACTGAACCTGTGGGCAGGTACAGACAGCTCAGCCAATCAGCAGCTAGGCCTAGAGATTCCCAGCCAATCAATACACAGGTCCATAGATCCCAGCCAATCAGCAGGCGGGTGTGTGGGTCCCAGCCAATCAGCAGGCGGGTGTGTGGATCCCAGCCAATCAACAGGCGGGTGTGTGGGTCCCAGCCAATCAGCAGGCGGGTGTCTGGGTCCCAGCCAATCAGCAGGCAGGTGTGTGGGTCCCAGCCAATCAGCAGGAGGGTGCATGGATCCCAGCCAATCAGCAGGCAGGTGTGTGGGTCCCAGCCAATCAGCAGGCGGGTGTGTGGATCCCAGCCAATCAGCAGGCGGGTGTATAGATCCCAGCAGCAGCCATGCTGTCCCCGCTGTCCCCTCAGCCGCTGTCCCGTGTGGAACGGGGTCCGGGTACATCCCTCACCCCACAAACGTCACGGCAACAGCTGCGGGAGCAGCCCGGATGCACCGCGGAGAGGAAGGTTGAGCACCCCCAGTCTCAGCCAGGCCGCTGGTGACATTCTTGGTTAGTGCTGGGGACACGGGGGCAGCAGGCACTGGTCACTCCCGAGCAGCCCTGTGCCCCTCTGCTCCTGCTGGCCACCACCTGTGACTCACTACTGGCCACTCGCTGCTGCCCAGGGCCATGGGGGGCCCATGGGTGGGGACAGGTGATGCCCCAAGGTGTCCTTCCCACCCCATGGCCCCCCAGATGTGGGGACAGTTCAGAAAGGGGCACACAGCCTATGGAGGGTGTCACCCTGTCCCCCGTGCCCTGTGTGACACCTGTCCCCAAGCCCTGTCCCTCTCCTTCCATCACAACCCCTGCTGTGTCCCTGTCCTCATCCCCTGTCCCTATCCCTG